AGGAAAGGAAAGGAAAGAAGGAAATGTAAGCAAGGAAGTAACTAATGACTTCACAAGGCAAGAAAAGGATTTCAGATTATGAGAAACAAACAACTAAGATTTTTGCCTTTCATCTTACTTTCATCTTACCTTCAATCAGCAATGGTTCTACCACGTCATGGTTAATTAATTCAAAGTTTTCATGACCTACCCTGAAAAATTATCAGGACAAAAACATCACCATGAAGACATAATATATAGCACCAATTAAAATATTCACTCTTATTCATTTATACTATTGACACACAATGTTGACATTATTTTAGCATTTTCTTTACCAATGTTCAACATTTTGTTTTCTCCCAGTGAAGTAGTTGTCAACTACTGTAACCTGAAATGAATTTGAAACAACAAATTATATGACAGTGTTGTGTGAATTAGTGAAGGGAGCATGGTTGAAATGTCAATTGCAGTAGGCATGCAGGCAACATTGCCAAAATGTACAAGAAAAATGTCATTGAAAACTACTCTGAGCATGGAAAGATGCTATATTATTTTTTCATTATATAGTTTAGATTATGCTTTTTGGGATTGGTGAGAACTGTGCTTTATTAGTGAACAGAGCAGTACAGTTGCTGATGCACTCCAAGTCGAGCGCACAGTCAATTTTGCAAACAATTGAAAAGAAAACAGCATTGAAAACTAATTCAGATTTTTTTCTTCCTACATAATAAAACAATTAATGTGTTCTGCATTCAATAATATAGCAAAAATCCAACAGCACTCTTCCTTTGTGCTCACATCACTTCCTGTAGTGTGCATTATTACCAAACGGAGCACACAAAAAATTTGTTTTATTCGTTGTTTTTATTATTATCAATAAATTAATAAATTAATGATAATGTAATCTACCTCATGTCCTAACATCATTAATGCATCTGTAAGATGAGAGCCAACAAACCCGGCACCACCTGTAATCTGTAAAAACATTTTTCAATGAATCAAGGGTGGTGTACCAAGGGGTAGTGCATTAATTTGCCTTGCCTCTTGAGTCTCAAGTTTCAAAAAAAATTTCTGGACGTGGAATCACATGTGAGTAAAATTCTTTTTTATAGGTTGGTATCTACTACTCTCAAGTCAAGGTTTTTTCTCTGGGTTCTCGAGTTTTTTTTCTATATGTACAGCCCAACATGCTAAATTCAAATTCAATAGACTCTTTACCTTTGGAGTTTATTATATTTTCCCTTGAGATTATGATTCTTTGAATGAGTTGAATGTATCATTATTTATGTGTCTTCTCATGTTCGACCATTTAACAAAGAGATGATAATCTCGGGAATGACACACAGTCTGAAATGGGCAAAACATTATGCCGTAGCAAAAGAGGTCTATCTGTGCCCTGAATTAAATAACCCTACAAATGACATCTGTGTAGAACTAGGCTAGCAAGTAAAGTTCTACCACTTACTAATATTCTCTTGCGGTCTGCTTCTGCTAAATACTTTACAGGAAGATATTTCTTTTGACCATTTTCATGTAATCTGTCAAACAAACTATACAGTTCATTAGATTGTATAAATTTACACTGAACAAATATTTAACAACACTATAGAATGGTTCAATTAATGTTAATAGCCAGGATTTAATGATATGAATCATTAACAATTTAGTGACAACATTAACTGTAATTGGCTACTGTGATCAACCATTGATGCTGTATGCTAAGGTGTCAGTAAGCAGATGGTCGACCGCTTACCAACATCTTTGGTATGTGATAGTGACCAGCCACTGATCGGCCATTATTTTAAGACCTGTACCAACACATTATTGACCACTTGTAAAAACAAATACCTTACCATTATGTTACCAGCACCTCACTGTTAATTTACTGTTAAATTACTGACCCAGGGCTTAAAATAAAAGCAAGTCCTTGGAATTTGAACTGTTCTGGTCAAAACATGTTAACTTTGCTATGCCAGTCATTTCAGCAAATGATGTGAAACAAGGTATGATGGAGCTAAAACTAATTTGGCCTGTGACCATGAGTAGCCGTCTGGAGACCTTATCAACCACTCACCAACCATTTGACATGTCTGAACACCTTATCAACCACTCACCAACCATTTGACATGTCTGAACACCTTATCAACCACT